TAGATTTCGCTGGTAGGAAACTCTTCTTGACAGTCAGACTATATTTTCCTTTACTCAATTCCATCACATCACTCCTACTTATGCCTCCTTGGAGCACCCTAAACGCTCTTCTCCATTGAAGTCAGTGGAGTTATGCGGGCAGTAAATTTGGCCCGTGGCACTTGGAGAAATAGATATTAAAACCCCAGGGACAAATTAGGGGGCGAGGGGAGGGAGGGCAGTGGGGGAAAGGAAATGGTTTCAGGTTGAGAGAAACAAGATCTCCTCTTACATCTGTACAGCGGTGCTGCCCGCTGCCGCGGTGGGAGCACGCCCGGGACTCGGCAGCAAAACGCTGCAAGAGGCAGCGATGTCCCTGGGGTGTCCCTGCGCGCTGGGCTGGTTACGGAGCCACGTCTGAGGGCTCGAGGGCAGTACGTGGCACTCGGGATCATGTGCAGAGGGATTCCCTAAAGCCCTGGGCGCTTTTCCTGCCGGTGGCTGACCTGTTTTGAGTCCCAGTGATGCTACCCGCATCCACCCCACCGCCTCTTGCCCCCAGAGTGGCCCGGTCCCACCATTTGGTTGTTTGCAGCTGGGATGGTCCCTGGCTGCTGGTCCAGCAATCCCAACCCACGTAGCACTCACTGCGAGCTGTGCCTCCGCGGGTTAATACTAACACATGCATTTTTCAGGACAAATTCCCAAATGCCCGTGGCCCTTTCCCCCAGCTCTTACCTCACTATCGTGACTTTAATATGAGTCCAGCAGATGTGTGCAGTGGTGGAGCTGCTGCAGTACAAAGGAGAGGAGGCTGCTGACAGAGGCACAAGATTTACACATCAGCAATCCTCAGCTCCCCTCTGCTCTGAAATAGCTGCAGCCCACAGGGTGCACTGGAAAGGACACATGTGGCAGAAAGGAAGAGAGGGGACATCACCGAGGGCTTCCTAGGGCGGAAGAAGTGGAATAAAGATATGTGGGATCTCTCTTCCTGGGACCCTGCAAGGGAGCAAGAGCTGGGGACATGGACCCATGGCTGAGGGGCATCTCAGAGTCCTGCAAAAGACCACTGAGGACAAAAAACAAAAACATTATAGATACCTATGTATGGAGGAGGGCACAAGATAACATGCAGAAGCCCCACACCAAAGCCCTGCATCTCAGTGTGCTGGGTGCTGTATGTTCCCAGAAAGGAGCTGGTGGTGGCTGGTCACCTCCTCTGCCCGGGTCACTCCAGGGTTACGCGCTCCAGAACGCCTTATTTTCCCACGAGCGTGCACTTGATTACCATCATGAAATGGTGAATTATTTTTCTCCAAACAGAACTGTGACCATGTCAGGAAAACGGCATCCTGTCTGGCTTGGAACCAAAAGCATGCTGGCTTGTTTTCGGGTACCTGCTCCTATTTATCACCCCAGCAGGTCTGGGTCCCGCAGATCTGTCAAGAGCTGTGTGTGCTCTGTCACTGACATACAAGTCTTACTACTTCAGAAGAAATAAATATGCCGAGCATTTCAGAACTGGACTATTCAGCAGCAGGAAAATACTGTTTGCTAAAAGGACATACGGATTTTCTAGTTGGGCAGAGATAAAGCAACAAGCTGAAACTCAGCATCGGGCCAACAGGGTAGGATCAGCACCGGGAGGTGCTGCCTTGTGTCAGACTCTGAGAAGCTGCTGGGAAGCGCCTGGCTGCGGCTGCAGGACACGTGGCCTGGGAAGAGCCACCCAAGGTGGGTGCCGGGGGGCATGGGGGTCAGTCTGGGGGATGGACCCACAACTGGTTCCCAACCCACTTGTCCAAACCTGCCCCCAGAGCTCAGACTGGGCGGGCTCAGCCATTCTCCTGACCTACCTTTGCTCAGATGCTGTTTCTGATCACTTATCCATTTGCCATTGCTAGGGAAAAAACTTCTGACTTCCAACTGTCAAAGATACAATTACAGTAAAACCTATCTTGGGGCTATTTTTCTTAAAAAGCCAATCCAACTTTTACAAGCTACAGCTGACATATATTAAGGGCTTAAACCAAACTTTCTGTGACTATTTGTTGATGTTATCCTGGCTGGTGCTGGTGGACATAAGGAACAAGAATTATTCCATCTGAAGGGTTTTCCTCTTACCTCATGGGCGTTAGAACGTGCGATGGAGCAACCTCTGCACGCAAGCAGCAGGTTTCATTATGAATTGTACAAAACACCGAGTAAAGAGGTGAGTAAATCTGGGTCCAGGAGAGCCAGCCTGTGTCACCTGTGGAACGATGGCTGCCCGCAACTGTGATTCATGTGCTGCCTGGACGTGTCCTCTGTAATTCTCTTCACAATTACCAGCCCGGGTCAACTGGCAGAGCTTTACCAGAGGGAAACTAGAAAGTGATTCCTCCTGCAACTGCATTTCTGCTTGGTTCCTGTCACCCTTCATACCCCAGAGAGCCCAGCGGTGCCACCTCTTTTATCTCACACCAGACAAGTGCTTTGGGATTGTTTGCTGTTTGACTCCGTAGCTGAAGCACAAAAGATCTTGTGCCATCCCAATATCTGCTTTGCAAATACCTGGTCCCGGGAAGGATGGGGACCAGTGGCACTGGTTCGGGGGGGGGGGGGGGGGTTTGGGTGGCCCAAGCACTATTCTTAGCTCTGTGTTAACCCACTGAGCAGCTTTTGGAGAAGTCATCCACTTCTCAGGGTCTTATTTCCCCCCTTCAATCTGCCTAGTTTAAGTAGTTTGTAAACTCTAGTTTGTAACAGGGTTTATTTTACAAGATGCTCACACAACGTCCAATGTGATCAGAACAATTCATTCATGCATGATACTTTACGTGAGTTGATGGAAAGCTGGTATATGAAGAACTCAGCATCATACTGTTGCTTCTGACACACAAGACAATCAAGGCCCTTGATGGGTAAAATATTTGCCTTTTGTTTGATAGAAAAAGTTAAAAATAAAAGGCAGAGGTTCCAGCAAAACCTGGCTCTGCCCTTAAAGCAACAGTGCTCTGAAAGCAGGCTAATTCAGTACAAAAATTTATGCATCTTCTAATAAAACCATGGTGGACACGGGCACTGAGGCTGTGAAGTTACACGCTTACTGGCTGAATGCTGACTAACGTGCTTCCAAGGAGAGTGCAAAATCCCCACCAGCTCATTGGAAAATCCTGGCACGATCTGGTCCTGGAAAGGAGGGTCCCGGAGCTGGTGGTGTCGTGGGAAGGGTCTCCTTGGCCAAACACTCTTATTTTGGCTTTTGCGGGCTGGTGTGTTGTGTTTGGGCTCTATGTGTTACTCCTGACATGTGGACTGTGATGAACCACACCAGGTATTTGTACAGGCAGGGATTTCAGAAAATACAGCGCTACAAAAGGTGTGGCTCATCAAAAAGCCAATGCAGACCGAAAGAATGGGTAAATCCAAATACTTTGGGGAGGAGGAGGAGGAAATGACGGAGATGCCCTCACCACCATGATGTCCCCGTGCCCAGCCCCGTGTGGGCAAGTCCCCACAGCCGTGGCGGGGGGGTGGAGAGTAGGAAATCCCAGCCTGGCCGGGGACAGGCAGGGGTAGGTGAACTTTCTCACTTCTTTTTTCTGTCTTGCAGCCTCCAGAGGAGGGATGCAGCCATTGCACCGGGGTGTGCAGCTGTAACTCTCCGGGGACGTGCCTGTTGGGTGGGAAGGTCGGGTTGCCGTCGTCCTGATCTAGCAGAGACACTAAAGGAACGGAGGGAAATGTGGATTGACAGGTATAATCCCGCACTGCATTATCCTGTCTTATGGTTCTCTTTTGTGTCTGTACAGCAGATAGACCTCTGAACCCTTGTTTTCAGTCTAGCAATTAAACTTACTATTTCATCATTAAATCTTGTTTAGGGATAAAGCCGAGTCTGATTAACATTCTTGAGTGCAGGCCCTGGGGGGTGGACGGCGCATGGGGTGCCTCAGCCAGAGACCGCAGGAGCCAGGGTGCTCCCTGCATGAACGTGGGGCCTGGCTCAGCCCGGGCGGGGAGAGGCATCCCTGTCAGGAACATCAGCCAGAGCGTCTGAGAGCCCAGCCGTGGTCTGTGCGTTGAAATCCTCTCAAACGCCCCTTTCTTTGTGGTTTTACAGCACTAGATGATGCTGGAGACCCACTTTGGTTAGACAGAATTTACGCTTGAGTGAAGTCTGTTTAATATAATGTATTGGACCTTGATAACGTTCCACCATCGCGTTGGATAGATGTGCTGGGCAGGGGGCAACGGCTGATAAAAGCATCAGCACCGCCGCTTCACCTCTAGACAGCACCTTTCACCCCAGAGCGCTTTCCAGATCACTTACGGGGATCACATCACCCGTCCCCGAGACGCGGCCACCGGGGAGCCAGAAGGCGAGTCGCAAGGACACCTCACGGGGCTGCTGCGCTGGGCGCGGGTCCCCTGGTGCTGGGGAGAGCCCCCCGAGGTGGGTGCCGGCGGGGTGAGCCCGCAGACCTGCCCCTTCCTCCGTCCTCGCTGGGGGACTGTGATCATCTCGGCTTGAGGGTGCGCTGGGTTCTCTGCTTTTTGCCCTGTTTTAACAAGTTTCGCAGAGCCGGGCACCCTCCGCGCTCGGCTCGGCGGTGCCCCCCCCCGGGTGCCAGCGTGACCCCCTGCCCGTGGTGGATCAGCAGCGGGCGCCAGACCGGCCGGGGCGGAGGAGGCGGACAGGGGGCTGGGTAAAACAAAAGCCTTGGGGGACGGGACGGGACGGGACGGGACGGGACGGGACGGGACGGGACGGGACGGGGCCGAGCGGCTTCGCATCGCCACGGCCGCGGCTCCCCCGGCGCCTTCGCCCCCGCGGGCCCGGCCGGGCTGGGGCGGAGCGGGGCGTCACCCGCCAATCAGCGCCTCTCCTCCCCGCCTCCTCCCCGCCCCCGCGGGACAGCCGCTCTTCTGATTGGTAGCTCCTCCCCGCCCGGCTCATTATGCGGCGGGGCGCGGCTGTGATAGGCTGAAGGCGCTGCCCGTCGGCCGGTGCCGCTGCCCGCCTCCGCTGCCTTTGCCTGCGCTGCCGGCGGCGGGCGAGCGGCGCCGGGGCGGGCAGCGGGCGGGGGGCGAGCCGGGGCGCGGGGGGGGCCCATGCGGCGCCGGGCAGAGCCCAGCCGAGCCGGGCGAGCTCCAGCCATGCATCCCGGCGCGCCCGCGGGCACATGGGGCAGCGCTTGAACCGCTGCCTCGATGTCCCCGTCGCGTTGCCGCCGTTGAGGCGGAGGCTCCTGCTGCTCTTCATCATGCTCTTCCTCTGGCTCTACATGTTTTACTCCTGCGCCGGGTCCTGCGCCGGGCTGGCGACCCGCGGCTCCCCCGCCCCGCCCCGCGCCGCCCCGCCGCTCCCCCAGCTGCAGCCGCCGGCTCCGGGGGAACCGGGCGAGGAGAGCAGCCTGGAGGAGCAACGGGCAGCGCCCGACGCCGCCAGCCCCATCTCCACCTTCTTCAACGGCTCCGGCACCAAGCGGCTGCCGCAAGCCATCATCATCGGCGTGAAGAAGGGGGGGACGCGGGCGCTGCTGGAGTTCCTGCGGGTGCACCCCGACGTGCGCGCCGTCGGCGCCGAGCCCCACTTCTTCGACCGCAACTACGAGCGGGGACTCGCCTGGTACAGGTACGCGGCTCCCCGCCGGCACCGCGGGGCTCCCGGGGCTGGGGGTGACGGGGGGGGGGGGGGGGGGGGGGGGGGGCCGGGCTGCGGAGCGGCTCGGGAGAGCGCCCGAAGCCAAGGTCCGCTTAGTACAGCCCCCGAAAAAGCAGCCCCTCACACAAAAAAAAAAAAAAAAAAAAAAAAAGACCCAAACCCAGCGCGGAACTTGCTTTCCCCGTTAGTCCGAGCGGCGGCTGGGCGTTTGCAGGCTTTATGCTAGCCAAACCGTATTTCATCTTTATTTAAAGGTTAAATATTAATTAAACAAATAATAATAAAGCTCTTATTTCGTTGTGCTTCCAGGGCTTTTGCTTCATTCATGTCTCTTTTCCGCCAGCCGGGGGTTGGGGGGGGGGGGGGCTCCGGAATCCCCCCGAGGCCGCGGAGCGCGGCGGGTTTCGGGGTCTGACCCGTCCGGGAGCGCGGCGGCCGCTCCGCCGCCCCCCGAGAACGGCCGCCAGCGCTTCCTTACGCTCCTCTCTCCGTTAACTTTCTCCTACCACCTCAATCAGCTTTGCAGCTGATAAATTGCTCCGGTTCGCGATACCCAGCCGAGCGCTGGGGACCGGCAGTGGCGCGGGGCGGTAGCGGGCGCTTTGGGGACGGGCTGGCCGAAACTTTTTTGTCTGGGGGAAAAGTCGAAATGACGGGATTGCATCCTCCAAGGGCGAATGTAGAAATAATTGGGCGAGGAGCAGGCAGCCGTGTGCGTGGCGGCTGCGTGCGGGTGGGTCGGGAGGCGGCGGGTGCGTGGGGCCGAACCGCGCTTCAGTTTCTCTTCAGCCTTTGATGACTGAAAATCCCTTTATCAAGAAGATTTGGGAATGTGCCCTTCTGCTGAGCGTTTACAAGAACGCTAAAGGAGCAGGGATGGAAACTTTGAAGCTAGTTGGGAGCTGGGAAGTTCTGAATTTTAACCTCTCTGTAGTCTTGCAACTCCCACCCTGCGAGTCCGATGAGGTTTATGCCTGTTTTTTTTTTTTTTTTTTTTTTTTTTTAATGTTGCCATCCCTCAGCAGTTAGTGAAATAAATGCGGGATAAGATCTGGCGAGGAGGAAGTCGTTTTTGAAAGCACTTTCGTTTTATGAGATTCTAGAATTTTGGTGGAGGATGCAGTGTGTCGTCCCATAGCGACCAAGATGAAATCTTTATAAATTCAGCTGGCTTTAAAAAAATATTAATCTCGCGTTTTGAATGGAGAACTTGCATATAGCCGAGCAGAAGACCTGTCAGGATTTATTAGCAAAATGGTGTTGTACGTGTTGAACTCTGTTTTTAATTAGGCACCTAAATTGGACCATAAAATGGTTGATTAATCTTCTACAAGTAAGAGGTGGAAGGGGAGAAGGAGAGAATAATGCTTATGATTACATTAATCTGTTATCTCAGATGCAGTGGGCAAAAGTCAATATTTAAAGGATACGCATTATTTTTAAATTCCAGAAGCTGGCATTAAAGTTGCATGTAACTTCTTAAAGTTTCACCTTATCAGCTGCGTAATTTCAAGCAGCGCGGGCCCTATCCCGGCAAACCCACTGCCACATTGTGAAATAGTTATCTTTGCAAAAGGGCTGTTTTGACTGAAATACAGCAGTTCTTCAGGTCTGAACGGTGGCGCTCCCAAGCAGCGTAAGTGATGCTGAAGGTCTCGAAATCGCTCGGGTACGATTCACCCTGAGGGTCGCAGCATGTTTGTCCGTCTGCGGGACGAGGACCCGGGTCGGCTCGGGGGAGGGAAGGACTAAATATTGTAAAACGTCTGGGGGGAGGATGTATTTGCTCAAATCGAGAGACAAGTTGTTTGGTAATTGTGCATTATTTCTACCTTCAATTTGAACTAGCTGCAGAAGTTTCTTCCTATGGATTTCAGAGTTAGAAATCAGATATTATCTAGCTCAAAACTCCCACTGGCTTCAGTGAGCCTTGGCTTCTCAGCACTCCTCAAGAGCATGCTTAGTTCTCCAAGCCCTAATGAGGCTTTTATTTATTATCATAATGTCAATAAGGAGAAGCGTTTGTATCTTCTTGTTAATGGCCCAATAAAATCAGATTAAAAATGCTATAAAATAGCCGCTGTGCCAGCTATCATGCAGTGAGCTGGGCAAGCCTCGGCTCTTGTTTTTCAGATGCTTTTGCACAAATTGACTGAACTTTGGAGCTGGGGGAGTTACTTGTGTCCACAGCACCCGGTCCTTGCAGTTTCAATCCGATTGCCTGCCTTTGAAGAGATGAGGATGCAAATTCTAACCCACATCTCATTGAAAATATATTTTATTCGATTGGCTTCTGGCTAAATTTGATCAGATCTGTTAGGAGTGTGTGTGTGTTTAAGTTGTTCCAGGCATATAATGAAGTGCTCTAATGGAATGGTTTTTTACAGATTTCCAAGAGGCAGAAGGCATCACAAATTTGCTTGTTTAGCTTGATGAAGTCTCATTTTGGGGTGTTTGTGGCTAATCATATTTATGTTAACTCCTGATCTCTGTCTAAAGTTTTTATCTATGGAAAATAACTTTTGAAGGAGGGAGTGCAAACTTTTTTTTCTTGCTCCATTTTCTGTTAAGCGAAATGAAATCTGTTTTTTTTTCTCTCCTTCCTTTGTGTGGAAGGCAAAGCAGCATCAAGTGGTGCTGACCGCTGTTCCTAAAAAGCAGAGGGAAGAGAGGGAAAAACGGATTTTTTTCGATAGTGAAATAGCTAGAAATCTAATGGAAATAACTTCTGTACGCACATTGCGGGGTTTTCCCCCTGGTAATGAATACAGCATGGTAACTGCTTCAAGTGAAAATATGTACCATGACAGAGGAGAAATGGGATCCAGCCACTATTGCAAACTAATTTTAAGTAGCGCCTGGAATTTTTGGATAATAAAGAAGTTTCCTCTTCGCAGCAGTGAGAAGCTCAGCTCCGCAGCCTGTGCGCGCATGTGTCCGGCCGAGCAGCCTGCCCGGCAGCCCCTTGGGAAGTTGTTGTTTTCTTCTGGGTTTGCTCTATGGAGTTGGCTATATGGGCAGGGGGGGGCAGAGGGGAGGAAGGGTTTATTGTTGAATTTTTTTTTTACTTGACATGTTATTTCATGCAAGAATGATGCATTTTTAAATATACTAGGGACTTGAAAGCCTGTTGTTTCTATAATTAACATAAGGTAAGAAAAAAAGACCACGTCATTAGCGTTATGTGTCTCTTTTTGGTTTTGGTTTTTTTTTTTGGTTTTTTTTTTTTTTTTTTTTTCCAAAACCATTTTATTTAGTCTCAGTGGGCTGTAGTACCCAGTCCCTCCTGCCATGGGCTGATCATTCCCAGCCCCACTCAACATCACTGATTTATATTTCAAGTCTGTAGCCCTCTGTTAGGGAGCCCCGTGGCACGGCTACACTGGCTGTAACCCAGATAGCAGTGCTAGCCCGAGCTCTGCCGCCTCTAGCAGCACAGAGGGGAGACCTCTTTTTCTTTTTCCTCTTTGTGGGAGGGGGGGAATTCTTAAAAAGCTGGGGCTTCATCTTCCTGCTGTTGCCAAGCTGCCTTAATGCATTCTCCATGCTGAGACTATGGGTGCTTTGGGTTAGCAGGATCAGGGCCAGTCTGGTAGTGTGCAATAAACAGCTTCAAAAATGCATTTCTTAGACTCCCCAGTCACCTAAATAAGCACTGGGGACCTTAACGTGCAAACTGCTGCTTCACAGCAATTCCTGAATTGGGAGAAATTTCCTCATTTTATTTTTTTTTATTTTTTTATTTTTTTTTCCCCAATAGCCTCTTTTTTGCCCCAAAGAGCGTGTCAGGGTGTGAGCAGCACAATGCTGATGCCTGCAACGGGCCAGGCTGGGAGCAGGGGAAGGATAACGCAATGATGGTTAGAAGTTCAAGGGTGAAAGCTTTGCTGAACCAAGGGCAGACCTCGAGCAAAGCAGGATTTTGCCCCTGCGTTTGGCCCTTCTCTCTAAATCCTGACTTTACAGGGGTAGCAAGGGTTTAACGCCTGCCACGTAATTGCCCCCGCGCTTGCCAGCCTCCCTGGTGGGGTGCGGAGGTGTCAGCTGGGCCCTTGCAAAACTCAACGTGTTGTTTCCGCTGGCTGTCGCAAGGTTCGTTGGCCCCGGGAAGTTTGGGAACGGTCTTGATTCTCCCAACTGGACTTTGGGCACAAATGACCGTGTCTGAGCAAAGACCAGTTCTTCCAGTTCCCATCAGCTGCATTGGGTTGGAAGGAGCATATCCTAAAGGGTACTTGAGTTTTCTGGGATGGCTTTGCCAGGCTGACTTCCCGTTGAGATTTTGTTTTCTTGATATAAAAAAAAAAAAAAAAAAAAAAATTAAAATCAACTATTGACCTGGCGTTGTGTTGCACTTAAGCAAGCGGGGGGACTTTTAATGGTCCCCTCGACACGGGCACAGGGGCCGGTGCCCCCTTGGCCGTTGCGGCAGCTCTCCATGATGTTGCCTTAGCCGCTGTGCAAAGTTGGAAAGAAAATGGCCCCAAAAAAGACGGGCTGGGCGGCTAGAATCAGTCAGCAAGGCCCTCGTGTTTGCATGGGATCATTCCTTTAGATCTGAGGAGGGTTGAGTTGTTCAAACAGATGGCAAAGATTATTCGTGTTGCTGGGGTTTCAGTGCGCTGCTCTGTTTCAAGCATGTTGCCCGATATGACGCACGTGACAAGTTCTTCCCAGCACGACGCTGGGGGGGGGACGACATTGTCTGCCGTGATCGGGTTTCATGGCCTCACCTGTTGAGCTGCTGAACTTTTCAAAGTTGACCATGCATTGGGGGTGACTTATGTGGATGGTGGATCTGCCTGGCTAATCGCGTTAGCGCAGCACCACGCGGCGTGCCGGGGAGCGTTGTGCTCCTTCTTGGCATGAAAATGATGGGAATGAAAACCCATGGGCTCGACTCTGGGTTTGGGATTTATTAGGTTTTTTTTTTTTCTTTTCAAGTGGGCCATGACAGATGTCTGTAACAC